CAACAACGAAATAAACCTGTTATTGCAATGGGATATAAATTCAACAAAGAAATAAACCTGTTATTGCAATGGGATATAAATTCAACAAAGGAATAAACCAGTCACTGGCCCTTTTCAAGAGAATTATGAGAATCCTGACCACTCTTTAGTTCCAAGCTGCTGGGGTGGTGGATCCTGGAGGCTTCTTCTTGAGTGTGACAGTTCCACTCAGTTGAGAGTAGGGCAGTGGTGTTCTGTTGATGTAGATGGTGTGAACCCTCCTTCTACTGCAGAATGGACGACAAATTCACAATCGTTTTGGACTGGAGATGATCCACCAAGTACAGTACACCCCTCCAGCTGGCTTTCCCCCATGCTACCACCACCTGGATGTTGGTTCCTGGATGGTCAGGTATTGGATAGGTGCAGCACCAGCCAACATAAGTCTTCACTTATGTGGTTGGTAGGGACCAGACCAGATGAAAAATATCCAAAGCTGCATGGTTTTGAACTGGAGTTGACCTACCATGTATGATTTCCCCATCCTGCTACTGCCTGATTGTTGGATTCCCAGGTAGCCTGGTGTTGGATATGTGTAGGGTCAGTACACATGAGAACTACTTAGGACTGTAGAATGGAAGTTAGTTTACTGGAGTTGACCTGCCATATATAGTCTGATGCACCCTAGCCACACTACACTATATGTCATGTCTATTTGTCATTTAAGGATTCTGAATGGTGCTTGTTTTCCACCTACCATATTTTCATTGTGGGAAAGAGTATACCTTGGTGTGGTCTCTGAAGAGGGCTTGTCTAGGTAACTTTTGCACCAGTTTCTCCACCACTTCAATGTGGGATTCTAGCTAATTGTGAGAGGAGGTAAGGTATCATATCAGAGGTTAACATTTTCTGATAAGGTACATTACTTTTCTCACATAAATAGCTATTCTTGTTCAGTACTGCCCTCTATATGCAAAAATTTTTTCCCACATGCCTTGAATTTCCCACTCATTTGGAACTGACTGATTGCCATGGGTCTCACATGCAAATCATCATGTGACAACCCTCCACCAATAAGAGTGCAACATACTATTTTGACGCATATGACTTCCTCTATTCAATTCTACCAAACTATCACTTTTTGGTTGGCAATACTCATGTTATAATGTTTAGTTTGTGCTCTCTTCAAGTGTTTTATTGTCATATTTTTCCGTATCTTTCTAAATTTTTCTCAACAAGTTTACTCTTTATTAAACAATAGTGATATTTGTAACTTGTTGAGTTATTCTGATGTGGAATTATTTCATATTTCTACCTGGTTATGGAACTTATTACTTCATTACAAAAACTTTTTTGTTTCTGCCAACACAGTTGTGTTGGGTTATTTATCTTGCATTATGAATTCTATGTTACTACTTAGACAATTCTATGTTCTATTAGCACATTTACACAGGTTTCAGGTTGCAGTACTTCGCAGGAAGATTTTTGGCTTTACTTTGTTGGGAGATTGATCTTCCAATGAACTGACTTTCGTTGGGCCTTGCCTCGAGTTTGGGGGTCCACACATTTGAAATACAGTCAGCCAACTTTGGAAAGATAAGATGTTCTACTGTTATGGTTTTTG